CACTTGATATCTATTATATATGTAGTTCAAATATGAAGTGGAAGTTTCAAATAACAAAAATAAACAGATTAAGTTTTATGATAATCTGAAATGTCATAATTATTCAAACCTCACAGAAAAAATTCATAACTATGAAAGCCTAAGTGTAAATAATATTAAAATGTAATGACAGGAATAAAAATCATTGATAATAATAAAAATAGAGAATTCTTTAAGACTTCTAAAAGATGAATTATTTTTATTACCTGTAATTGCTAGGCTGTGCTCTGATCCACAACATAACTGAGATACCTGTGGAATGGACTCAATGGGTGTTGGGGTGAAATCACACAACTGACCACTCTGGACTGGTCTTCCTAACTGCCCATAGTCAGCCCTACCCCAACTGAACACCTGGCCATCATCTGAAACCCAGTGAAACTGATCTGAGGAATAATGTTCAAACTATTAAATTCAAACAAATTTTTAAAGTAGGGATGGGTTGAAACAGTCACACAACATAAAATACACTAATAAAAATAAAACATGTGCTTATGTTATCAAACAGCAGGTTAAAAATTGCAACTGATTTTTCTATTTTTATGATCCTAAGGAAGGATATTTACCAAATACAGTATCATATACCTGTGACTGCAAGGAGATGTGTCCACCCACTGTAGACTTGACACACTTTTTTATTTCTAAAAACTTTCTGTGACACGCAATGGGGTCTGTTCACCTGTGGCTGGGTACGTGGATTTAGTGCACATTGGCCATATTTATTGCAACCCCATACAAACACCTGGCCCTGATCTGGATAAAGTAAAATTAAAAATTAAACCTTCAAATATCTTACATGCTCATGATCTATTACTTATTATTTTGTAAGCAGTGTTTATGTTTTTAAGCACTTCAAACTTCTTGACAAAAAATTATCAATAACTTTGTTCACAGTTCCAAGGATTTCTATTTACTAATGTTTTTGTTTTAATTTGAAACACGTGTAATTTAATAAAAACTAATTATTTTAAGATTACCTGACAAACATGCTGTGTGATGTGACCCTGCTACTACTTGTGTTGCAGTCATAGGACCACTTGGGAATGCCACTAAAATTTATATACAAAATTTAGTTATAAGACTAAAAGTTATAAACAAAATGTTGTAAAATACTTTCAAGAGATAAAAAATAACAGAAAATAAATTAATCCAAAAGAAAATCCTGTTGATTGCATACAAAGTGTCTTAAAATGATTCCAAGAGATCAAAAATAACAGATATGAATGTATTAAAACAAAAGAAAAATTTTATGGAAATATTGCTAGCACAAATTACTTACCTTCATTTGGGGTGGTCACAATTTTTGGGGGAACATCATTAACCAGTACACCTTGTTGTCCCTTTTTCCCACTTCCCATTGTTAAAACATTGCCTTTCTCTACATTCAAGAAGATGAAGATTGAAAATGTTCTTTTTTTGTATAACTTTATAACTACACCATGATACTGACAATTCATATCTTCGAAACATTAAAATGTAAAAATGCTAATGTCAAACAGAAAGATAAAAATATGATCATGTTTTACATATTCTGCCTACCTGTCAGAAGCACTGAATGTCTCAAACCAGTAGAGAGATCTTTGACTAGGCAATTCAAATTTACTGGTGTCTGGAAAAAAATTGATTGTGTCAGTTGAGATTTCATAATGCCTCAATTACAGTAATAATACTAGCTTTAAAAACACAAATGTATAGTATTAATATTGTGCTTCATATCAAAAGTTGGCAGTAAGCAAATGTGATTGAAATAAGTTTAGAGATACATTTGCAGTATATGGGTAGATCAATATTAAATCTAATCTATATAATGAAGTTAACTTCATGCTTACAAGAGCAACAACACACTACTGTATGAATACCTTAACAGTTAATCAACTCACTGGGCTTGAGACATAAGATTGCACAGGGGTCAAACCAAGCTGACCAAACATGTTAGAACCACATGCATACAGTTTTTTTTCATCTGGAAACAAAACAAAAAAGGACTTAAAAATAAATATCTGGCATTCAACATGTAATGTAAGAAAATCTTAAAACCAACAAATTAACACAGCCAAATTTACCTAAAAATATACACTTATTATTTTTACATAACGTTATAAAATGGTGTAAGAATATTACATCAAATAAAAATCCATAGAGAAAGGAAAAAGGTTTCCCACTAATGTTACATTAAGGAAGTCTTTCTGAGAGTTTTAATTATTCTAAGACAGCTAGTTTCTCCTCCTCTAATAAAAAATCATTGCATACTTGATAACACCAAGGTGAAGTCCCATCCTCCTTTGGCACAAACAGTGAGTTCCTTTTCCAGTGCCTTCACTATCTGTGGCCTGAACATTTCTTCTGTATGTTGCAAACCAAGCTGACCCTTATTATTATTGCCACATGTAAATAACTGACCACTATCTGAAACATGTAATACTGTAGTAGTAAACAATTGTCATACTTAGAAGAATCCTAAAGAACTTCAAAAATTTAGTGACAAATTCTGTCCTTATGTACACAACATATCTATCCCACTTCCTCCTATAACACAGTTCAAAATTGTTTATTTATCCCTTACCTGTAAGTAATAATGTATGTCCTCCTCCACCTGTGGCATGTCTCAAAGGTATGTTGAAGTCCTCTGTTGTTTTTGGCAACATTTGGTCTTCTGTATGTCCTAACGCAAGCTGACCATAACTGTTGGCACCCTAAAATTTCATTTTAAAAGAAAATTTAATAAATTAAATTAAATACAATAAATTAAATACCAAGATTAAAAGGTTTCACTCTGGCTAACTGTGGGGTCATTTCTAAAATTATAGTGTTTTTGGTTTTAGTTGAAAAGAGAATTAATGGATTTTAGATTTTAATCAATTCACAAAATTCACTTTGTCAAAGGGAATTTTTAACAAACATCAGACAAGGGCGTACCTTTTCAAAGCGCTCAATCAAGTTAAGATCAAAAGGGGCTTCCCAATTATTAATAAACATTGCATTCAGGATTATTTAAAAGGGGGGGGGGGTGGCACGGATGCGAAGCTGACCCTCTCACCCCCCTCCCCAGCTCCTTTGCGGGGGGTTCGGGGCCCATGCAGTGCATGAAGGCCCCAAAAATGTTGGGTATTTTAGAGGGTGAATGGGGCCATTTGGAACTATAATTCAGTTAGTCAAAAGTCTAAATTCAAGAAGGGACCGTTGGTGTTATTTTTTCAAAAATCGAAGAGGGTGTTAGGGCCACCTTGACCCCCCCCTCCCTCAATCGGCCGCTGGCATTTGTGATTATAATGTAGGTCACAGCTTTTGACGACACAGAATGACACAATGCAAGCAGGTGTTTGTACCTTACCTTCTACAGAATAAAATTGCAGAAAGCACATAACTAAAAGATTTCTTTTTAATTCTATTGGTTTTGCAAGGTTATAACGACTTGCAATAAGGACGATTTAATCTTAAAAATTCACAAACCCATGCAAAAAACTTCCCGCAGGGGGCTTCCATTTTGAAGTGCCCCGTATGTAGGTTAGAGATATGATCTCACGTGACCAAAATCTGTTCTCTGATTGGTGAACAGGTGCCAGCACACGATTGGGCTTTTATCTCCTTTGAACAATTCGCCCCAAAAAAGAAGTAGAATTATATGAAAAAGAGAATAACTTATCAATTTTTTAAGACAATAAGTTTGAAAATTTAGATTTAATGAATACACATTCAAATGCGTGTAACATTTTTTAGTCTCAAAATATTGCTTTTTTTACAATACATGCAAATTATTGACATTATCATGCGAGGGAGGGAGCGCGCTAGACAGAAGTGCACCAATAGAGGTGAAGCTTGTGCTCTGGATGGCTCATGATTCGCCGTCCATTTCAGATTGATTTCCATAGCCAATCAACTCGGGTTCGTCCGGATTTCACCCAATGTAAGTGCTCCTTATTCTTATGTTCTTGTTGACAGTTGTAGACGCACGTGTTGAAACAAAATATAAACAGGAAATGAGCCCAAAACCGGACGATTACTTTATTAGCCAAAAAAGACAATGTTTATGTATATTGTAGTAGACCTTTGTGTATCGGGTTACAATTTACGTCTAGATCATTAACATACAGAATCACACATCACGTTGTTAAGGTGTACACTTAATGCAGTACGTTGATTTGTTTTGGATCTAGTCTAGTTCTTTTTGGCGTAATTAAGCATTAGATGCATGAAAATTTGAGAGCAATGATGTTAACAAGAACTGTATTATGCTTTGGGCTGACAAGCTTCTTGCACCTGTACCTCTTGCATTGTTATCTGTATGTCATGCACAAATATTTCGACATGTACAAAAATTCTGTTTTTGTTAAACAACCAAGGCACTGCATATTTTAGCATGTTACTTATGACTGGTAGATGGTTCCAAAATATGTAGAAAAATACAATGTTTCATGTTGACATCACAGAAAAATTACAGCTGGGCATATAATTTTATGACATTCTTAATTTGTGTGAGGTCATATTTATTATTTTACAGTAAGGCATTGAGATGGAGCAATTTCAAGTGACCACAGCATCTGATGGTCAGCAGCAGCCCTCACAAGTTATCATGCAGCCTTCACAAGTCCAAGGCTTGCAAACACAGGGACAGGTATAGGAATAACTGTATTAAATACAAATAATCAGTATAAAATATTTCAATAAGTATCAAGGAAAAAAGATCCATATATATCTATCAGACAAATTGAAAGTTTGGAAGTGTTTGTCCTGTTGCATTCATTGAGGTTAATCAGTGTTGTTAAAGCTTCTGCTATGTCCATGCAATAATTAAAATTCTAATATAAACTTAATTTTAAATGTTGGGAATTAATAAAAAGGTTTATAATGTCAATGTCTATTTTATTTAGTTGGTACAGATAAATCAAGGCCAACTAATGTCTGGCCAGCAGATTATCACCATGCCCCAGGGACAGACTCTGCAACTAGCTGGACAGCAGGGATTTCAGCAGGTTAGGAAAAAAATTCATTTATGTACATATACCCCTTCAAAGTATGTTACAATTAAATTCTGTCGTGAACCAAGTCGTGTACAGTTTTGATTTGTAACAGTAACTTAAAAACAACCCACTAGGAGTCTGAATCTGATGAAGGCTGTTGAAATACCCACTCAGTGGTACGTACTCTTATTCTTAATATCTTTTAATAATACAAGATAACTTTGTAATGCTTGTTTATTCCTCCCTCTCCTCCCACAGCCCAACATTTTGTTAATAATGTAATAATCTTTATTAATGGTAGTTTAGTTTAAATGATGGCAGTGTCAGCCACAGTATATTGGCTAGAATGTTGTCATGTGTCAGCAAGCATGGTAATGGGAATGCTGTAGAACACTGCTTACATTTACTCTGTACATGTTATTTACAGAATTTTTTTTCGCCAACATGCTCATATATTCTTTTGTTTTATGCATTTCAATGTTCCAAAGTGTATGTTGTTTGATTATAAATTAATTTACAATTCATAGCAAACATTTACACTGAAATTAGTACTCAGCAGAGAACAATAGAATAACAGTGCACTTAAGAGGTTTTCCATGACTTAATAGTACACATTTATATAAAGTTCAGTTTGACTAATTTCTGCCCATCTAAACAAATTGGTGTTAAATAAAAGCAGAAGAGAGCAAACATTCTGGCCTAGCTAGCTTGATTATTCCACAAATCATTGTTGCTGGAAATTCACAGACCACGTCAATATTTATTAGCATGGAAAGTCTTTTCACCTGTGAAGATGGGCTATTTGTGAGTGACATCACTTTCCAGTTTATCAGCTCCAACCCCTGTAACATCTTTTCAACACCTAGGACATTGCAGGACACTGACACAATTGACTGGAAAGTGAAGCCACATGCATATTGCCTTTATATTCAGGGATCATGTTAGTATTATAGCAATTTTACAATATTCTATATCATCTTTAAGGTGCACAGTGTAGGATTTTCTTGACACTTGCCATATTTCTGTTATAATCAGGGAGAATTAAATTCCTCAACCCATGCTTAAAGTAATTGTTTTGCCATTCTCACTAGCTCAATTCTCATGCTAACTTCTGGATTCTGCACAATTTAAAACTTGGCAAGATGGTTGACCATGGTGAGGTTCTTTGGAGTGGTTAAATTTGATTATTTTATACAAGATTTATCAAAGAAATATCTCTCCAAATATGAACAAAAAGTATAACTTGGCCTCAGATATGTTCATCAAGAAATTGTTTATGTACCTAGGGAGTGTTTAAAATCCTACACTTTGTTACTTTAAGCAAAACCATGTTGCTTAAAGGAATAATAACTCTTCGTATGAGATCTATATTTCACAATAAAAACATTGTGAATAACTCATAGAAATATGATGTATTCTGTTTTACCACAAAAATGGCAGTTATAGCTATTATGCTGATATCTGAGCTTGTCTTTAGACCACGTGACCTCCAATGATGGCTATACTCTGTTAAAAAGATTTTAACAAAAAACCAAACTTTTTAGAAAAAAAAAACAGGGACTACCTTTGAATGTAAAAATGGATTCATTAACCATTGGTTAGTATGGGAAAATTGTTGTTTACTCCAGGAAAATTCATTTTTTGGCCGAAACAAAGAGTTATTATCCCTTTAACAATTATTTCATATGCCAGCATGAACCTACACATGAGTAAGCTGCTGAAGATATGACTTCATTGTTAACTAGCAGAGTATTTGCAACGGTAATTAATATCTTACAGACACAACCTTTACAGTTTCAAGTTGGACAGCACCAACAACAACAGCAGCAAAATCAATCACAGCAGGTAAACCTTATGAAGAGTTTGACTATATTAGAAGTGGACATATGAAACCAAATTGTGATTGAATTGTGTTTTTAGAATCCATGCCCATGGAAATTGGGAGTACAAGGATGGTTGGCTTTTTATATGATCAAAATATTTTAGTAGCTTTGCTTCATTGCCTTGCTATGTGCTTTTATAGCTGATGCTTCTCTAGTAAAATGTGTGCAGTGGTGCCAAAATGCAGATGCACAGAAACTTAATCGTATTCTATACATTTCAGATTCAGGTTCTACAGGTTGGGCAACAGTTGACTAATTCACAAGGACAACAGGTGAGTTTACTCTGATAAAATGTTGTTCATGTCAGATGAAAACACCGGATATCATGGCTTAAGTAGAAAAAAGTAAATTTAAATTGGGAAATACATACACAGGTCTTGATTTTGATAAGTCAAGCAAATGAGATAAGGTCTTCATCATTAACAGTCTAAAATTGCCTTGTTCAGCAGTAGTACTATTCTTTAAAATTCTAGATAATCATTCAACAACCCCAGGGTCAGGGTCAGCAGGCAGTGACTGGGCAGATTATCCAGATTGGGGACAGTCAGGCCATCATCTACCAGCCTGCAGGGGGAGGGGACAATGTGGCTCAGATGTTACAAATACAGCAACCTAACCAGCAAGGTACAGCTGTTAGAGTGAATGGGGGATATGTATACATACACACATTGCACACACACACAAAAGCACAACCATTGAATATTGAAAAACAAAGTACTATTTATTTTCACTATAAGCCTGGTAATATGGTATTTCTGGCTACTGAATGCAGTATTTGCTGTGGTGTCATAAGCGAACTTTTACTGCAATCAACCTACAGTATGGTGTGTGTATATCGGCTCCTCAACAACTTAAGCGTTAAAGGGATAATAACTCTTCGTATGAGATCTATATTTCATAATAAAAACATTGTGAATAACTCATAGAAATATAATATATTCTGTTGTACCACAAAAATGGCAGTTATAGCTATTATTCTGATATCTGAGCTTGTCTTTAGACCATGTGACCTCCACTGATGGCTATACTCTGTTATAATCTCTTAAGAGATTTTAACAAAAAAACCAAACTTTTTAGAAAAAAACCAGGGACTAACTTTGAATGTAAATTGATTCATTAACCATTGGTAAGTATGGGAAACTTGTTGTTTTCTCCAGGAAAATTCATTTTTTGGCCGAAACGAAGAGTTATTATCCCTTTAACTATGTTGGAACATACATTTCACCACTGCCAACTATGTTTCATTGTAGCAGGTCAGGTTATCCAGATTCCTACCAGTCTAGCCACCCAGACAGCCCAGGCCTCCACTGCCAGTAGTATGCCCACCACTATCACTATTCCTGGCACAGGGGGGCAGGGACAGGTTATCATGGTGAGGCTGCTTTGGGTCTTCCCATCTGTTTGATGAACTTCAAATCCATGTTTCAGTAGTGTGTTGGTCATTTTGAATGGTTTTGACTTGTAAGGATATGTTTAGTTTGTTAGTTTTTGTTCACTGATAATGTAAAATATTTCTAGGGAAGAGAAAATTACCACACAATGTAAAAATAGTGATAGCTTTGCTTCACATGCTAAATGGTGAAACCATTTTTGATTTAAATCTGCTATGCAAGTTTATTTACTCTCATAAGGGCATTTTACTTAGCAAAATATTCATGTTTATAGACATATCTCACTTGTTACAGATGGTCCCAACCAACACAACATCCACAGCCTCTGGAGGTGGAGCTGCCATGCAGAGGTTGCCCCTCCCTGGTCAGGAGGTTATGGAGGAGGAGCCATTGTACGTGAATGCCAAGCAATATCACAGGATACTCAAACGGCGGCAAGCCAGGGCTAAATTGGAGGCAGAGGGAAAAATACCAAAGGAGAGGAAAGTAAGTTGTTTGGTCAGTCCTTGAAATATTCCTGTATCTTGATGTCATGTAAATGATGTTGATAGTTTACCATGACAGTTTGTCAGCCTTTAGTTTTACATAATATAATTTACATATATAATTGTACCACCAGCGTTAGCGCTGGCGGTACACATGGTTTCGGTCCCGTCCGGATCGTTCCGCCGGCTCCGTTGGCTCCGCCGGCTCCGCCGGCTCCGCCGGACGGCTACCGTTACCGCTTCTCCTCCTAGACGGTAAGGGCCCCCGTACCCATCTCATGGATTTAGGTCACCTATAATCTCAACTCGTTCCACGTAAAATTTGGGCTTTGTCGGTATTGGGGTCTGGGTGTGGCACTCATTGCAATGCACCTTTGTCTAAAAATGGCAAAATTAAATGCTAATTATCTACCCTACGGAAGGAGTTATGGGAAAAATTTCTATAGACGGCTTTCCAAAAGTCATATGTGTAGATTTCAAATATACCCTTGGATTTGACCTTTGACCTTTACTTCTAGGTCAAATGGGCCAAAATTTTCAAAAAAATGAAATTTTTTACNGCTACTAATATGCAGTGTACGTGCGCTCATATCTTATACACCTCGGTCTTTGGTTTTCTACATTTTCTTTTATGGTCTTCATTCTTTGCTGTAAAATAAATTAGTTTTATCCTTAACCTTTACTTGTCCGATGAGTCTTTATTCAAAGCCACTCCTCAGTCTCTCCTCCGTTTACGGTTTTCGTCCCTACACCTTGGATTGTTACCACTGCAGGCAGTCTTTGAACGTTTGTTAAGTTAGTTATCTTCTCTCTTTCATATACCCTGCAGTAATTCATCATTTTACTCGGTTTAATATAAAAAAACACAAATTTAATGCTAAATTGTACATGTAGACATGATCATGCGCAGCAGACGATTCCGGTCTCCCTCCAGTATGGCTGCCGTTTGTTTTGATGACGAGGGCTACAACGGGTTAATATAGCAATACGACTGGCAGATCTAATTTCTCGAAAGTAAGGCAATGGAAAGCCGAGGTCGGCCTATTTATTAGCTCAATTGATATTTTGTAGAATTTAGAGGCTAAAAAACACCAAAGATTGTCTTGTGGCCTGTTTCTCTTATCGAGGCCCAACATTTTTTTCCTGTGCTGCTTCTACGGTGGAGTTATTCTCAGATTATCATGATTATAAATGCTATACGCAGCTTCTCCAGTTATTGTTATACAGGTATGGTGTACCGCATATTATATTCATAGGGAAATACAACCATGCACTCGGCAATGCAGGATTTTTGTACTTATAACGAAATTTCAATTATTATCAAACACTATTGATAGTGTCAAAATTATTACCTAGTGGTGGCAGTGTATTTGATGGCATGATTGAAAACCATTTGTGTTGTCTTCAGTGTAAAGAACAAATTTAGAAAAGAGTGTAGGGAGACCAGAGAAGAATTTCATCAGCTGTGTTAAGTTATAAGAATGATGTGATTTTTTCTTCAGTCAACAGCTGATATTGATGTCTATCAGGACATCTTCCTCTTCTTACGCCTGTGTTGAGAGAGTTTATCTTGTTAAGTGATTGCCTTATACATTGTCGCAATGTGGTTTCCTTCTACATGTACATGTGCAGTAGCCTATGTGTGTGTGTGTGTGTGGGGGGGGGGGATTAATTTTTATGTACAGACACAAATGTGTCTGTACGCATCACCTGCGTCTGTCGTCGCCGTGCACTTTCAGCGTTAACACGGTAAGTGAAAGACAGTTTTTATTTTTTGCTTTATATTTACAGAGCTGATGAATATACATAAAACGCAGGTCAGGTTCGAAAATCAGCATGATCGGGCCATTATTTTAGCAGTTATGCTGTTTTTTTCACTTTTCAGCATATATTCAAAACTGTAAACACATTTCAAGGAAAACCAATAGGCCTGTTGCCATAAAACTCACAGGAGTAATCAATCTTACTAAAACACAGGTCAAATTCGAAAATCAGCATTATCGGACCATTATTTTAGAAGTTATGCTGTTTTCTCACTTTTCATCATATATGCAACACTGTAAACGCATTTCAAGGAAAACCAATAGGCTCATTGACATGAAAATCACAGGAGTGCTTTATCTTACTAAAATACAGGTCGAGTTGGAAAATAAGCTTGATTGGTTCAGTTTTGATGCAGTTATGCCTTGTTTTGTTTATAAGTGTTTTTACCTCAGATTCAATTCTTAGGCATGTTTACAGTTTCATTATTGAACTAATTAGATGCGTATAACTGATCTTTTGACATTTTTTATCTTTACAATATTGTTAGTTGATTACATAAAAATGGTGTTAAACCTGTATTTATCTATTGTGTAATTAAGTGTCAAAAATGGAAATAAAGCAAATCATTGCAGTTTGTCAGATTTAATCATTTACTATGTTCAGAATCTCAGAATGGAGCAAATTGAACATTTAACATTGTTCTATTGATCTTTTCTACATCTTAACAATTTTCTTAGTTGATCATTAAAAAAGTACAGTAAATTAATTGTTTTATGTAAAAAAAAGGTGTTAAAATGGAAATAAACCCATTTCAGTACAGTTCTGTCTTGTCATTTTCTGCTTTTTTGTCTGTACATTTGACAGCTTTGCTGCCTTGTTAAAATATTCAGTGGTATAGCTGTTATATATCTGCCAAGTGTAGATGTGGATTGTAATTTGTTAGCACATTTCTGTTTACTAGTAGTTTCCAAGAGACGTATTTTTTTCCTAAGAAGCATCAAAAACCTCAAACAATTCATTAGTTTGTGTGATACATATTTCATCTATGGCAGTGCTTTGTTATTGACAGACAGATCTGAAATTTAAATGTTTTGGATGTTTTTTGCTGTTTGGTGTCTAAGGAGATAGTTAGAACCTTTCCTATAGAAAACATTTCCTAATTATATGTGTTTTGTTCAAAATCACATTAAATCCACATAAGGTAAGAGTTACAGCCTACTGAACAAAACGTGCATTAGGACTGGGTTCCCATAGATTTAGATCGATCCGACCTAACTCCCTGGGGGTTCACACTAAATTGCTGTCAACTGCCGGGAGCCGAGCACGCAAGAAAGTTCATTACCCGCTTACAGCTTTAAGTAGGCAGGGCAGACTGATAGCAATCTAGTGAGACTCCCAAGGGGGATACAGGGGCATAACCAGACCTTTTAAAATTGTAGGCTACGCACAGATTTTCAAAATTCCCAAGTACAGCTAAATGTAGACTTACATGTATGCAGCACCGNATAACCTGACTGACATAAGTAATGTTTCTGGAATTAGAATTAGAATTAGAACAGACCAAATACTGGCTGTAAATTTAACATTAATTTTCAGACTGTTGTGTCACCGTCCTTTGTTTCTAACTCGCTCACCCGTCAGCGGTTCTACTGCATCCCGTCACGTGCAAGCTAAGGGGATGCCATGTTACCCTCGGGCCTTTTATGCCTTCTCCTAGCCTTTTTTGTTCAGATACCGCTCTGTCGAGTTTATCAAGGGTTAAATTTTCGATTACAATTCTAATGAAGTCTGTTCGTTAAGATTGGGTTTGCGGAAAGCCCTAGGAAACAGAGAGCGATGATTCATGAGAAATTGCGTATTGGATTTGTGTGAGAGAGAGAGTGACAGAGGAAGAGAGAAAGAGAGAAACAGAGGGAAAGAAAATGGGAGTGTTTATTGAAATACGCTTTCTAACAGGTAAAAGGGCACGCGATGAGATTTTCCAAACTGTGTTGAAAATTGCAGTAGTCAATCGCAACTTTGGGGATATCGCTACCGGTACCTTCTGAGGATGGAGTAAGGAAGGAAAATCCGGACATTGAGATTTACGTGTATGGTAGAAGACGTCCCTTTGTATCTCTATTTTTTATCTATCTTTATTATCTATTTCTTCCAAAATACACACAAAAGGCAAGGCCCACCTGACCAACATACGACTTTACAAATGTTTATAATTGGCCATGGTACTAAGTTAAAGGGAAAATGAAAATAAACACATTTAAGTGTCAGTATGTGGAAGGACAAATGAAAGTCATATTTAAAAATATGACTTTCATTTGTCCTTCCATATACATGTACTGACAAATCTATTAAACAGTAACAGTATACAAAACATAACGCAATTTTAACACTATTAGATAAATTGACTTCTCCTCAATTAAGGTTACGGTACAATCTGATAATATGACTGGTAATTCCCCCGTAGAACCCAATAGTGATAATTGCAGACCAGTTCCTAACACTCATTGTCCCAACACGCTCGTGAAGACCACAGATATGGGAATTCTAATGGCGACATTTTTCATTGACAAAGAAAGTGCTTTTCTCTTGCCGCCTATCTGGCACAAGCACGCTTCCAGCGAGTCATGTGTATTGGCTTCACTCTCACTGTCGCAATGTGTTGCTGAAACCGCACAGGCTGTTCGAAGTGAATTCTGCGAATTGAAGTGAATTCTGCGAACAGAATGAATGCCACAGAACGATGTTCGTGCTGTCATTCTACGTGCTGATCAGCCCACGTTTGTAAATAATAAAAGACATTGCAAAACTTATCTCCATATGCTGTCGCAGAGTACAAATACCCCTGTGCATTAAATTTTAGCAACAAAGGTTCCATCCTTATTCCATAAACCGTTTTTAAATAGTTGACAAATGACGGTGATCGAATGGAGACATGGCGCCCGTTAGATTTAGAGCTTAGCTGAGACTACGGAAGTCGACTTTGCAATTGCATATCACTTCAGTCTAAGAGTGTTTTGAGCCCCAATACTGGCATAAATAACCAACTAGGTTTTGGCACTTTCCGAACGTAAAAATCATTGTCATAACAATCAGAATGTACTTAATGAACTCTTAATATAAATAAACCGACAAAACGAGGTGAGCGACAATTTTAAAGATGCTGCTAAACGCAAAAAAAGTCGACTTTAATCCTTTTATCCCTGCTAGAGGTGGTTTTTGTCCTTAGGTGCCTTGCGAAGGAAGCAACGTGGTCAAAGTCGCATTTTTGTAAGAAACTCTTTATATAAATAATCTATTATCACTGTACAGGTAGGTAAAAAACAGTCGTAATTTTAAGCAAAGTTTCACGTGGGGAAGGGCCAGAGAACCAAGATCCCTGCAAAACTGTGCATTCACATGTACATACTATATAAAAATATCCCCACCCATTTTAGCAAAGAAACATGCTAGAACGTGAGAACCAAAGCCATAGCAGGTGGCAGTGGCACAATCATGTAAATTAGATAACTGGAAGTGAATTCTACCCATTGCCCATCACGCACGAGGGCCACTTTCCTTTCTCTTCAGCCTCATGGTACAATAAGGGCGAAATGAGCAAATCCGATATTAGGCAGAACGCTCGAAAAATTGACTAGACGTGCAATTAAAATCAATAAACAACAAAAAGAGGGGCTTTGTATCCAAATACAATTACCAGTATTGAGCTCCGATTAACCGTATTAAGGCCTCGTATTTCTCAAAATTCAAATTAAGCACGTTCCTGTTTGTCGTAATTCGACCGCTCAAAAGTTAGTGTGGAAGGCGGAGAGCATGAAACAGAAAGATAAGGGTGAAATAAGCGGTGAGCAATGGGGATCTGTCCAGTCGCCCCCAACGAGAGGATAGTTTCGTGTACCCAAACATAAAATACAATGTCGGTAAACCGCTTAGGTTCATATATTCGCTGTATAACAGCGTTTCACATTGGCTCTAACGGTAACAGTTTGCTGTGAAAAATGCTGAAAAAGCTTTGGTTTAACCCCTCCCCGTTTCTTTGGGATACTGCCACCTGTACGACCGAGCTTCTGTTTTTATCCAAAAAATAGCGACTTGAACTTGAAAAAGCACACATACACGGTATTTAACATATTTGTGTTTTACAACTTACACATCTACTGGTTGCGTTTTTTCCCACCCATTCCCTTAACTGACCCAATCTAATCATTAAACTAAATATGCAGTTGTTTCAGTAAATTATCTCGTAGTACCATACTTGTATCTATGTATCTGTCAACGGGAAGAGCATTTCCAGTAGATAGGGAAAAAAGGGTAAAACATATTGGTAGCTAATTAGCAGTAACTGTCAACAGAAATTAAGGCAAAATTGTAGTTTATGGGTAGTCGAACCTTATCAAGATGCGAAAGCATTCATGCATTTAAGTGGCTAAATGATAAAATGCAAGCGTAATAGTAACGTATACTTGTTGGCTTAGTAACCAAAACTAAGTGTTCTTTTTCATTATGGTTTTAGTTGATAAAAAATATTTCCTTATATTGTCAAAGTTGTGACGTTCATATTGATATATTCACTGTAAATGTACTTGTAATGTTTCCAATGCAAAATAATAATAATAATAATAATAATAATAATAATAATAATAATAATAATAATAACATTAGTATTATTATTGTCGTGTCGGACGTAATGTAGATGGCAACATACAGTACGTATCAGTCGTACCGTTTCGAGCTCAATAAACGTTATTTTTCCAATATATGAGAAGGTGGCTGACATGTAGACTGCAGTTAAACTAAA